TTACGATTGCTTAATTATAATTCTTAAATTATATGCGATTACGATTACTTTAATTGTAAACACAAATATTGCCATTATAATTATAATAGTTGTAACCTTAAAAATTTAAGGACTAAGCTTACTGTAATCGTATTCATGTAATACATTTCTAAGGGGAAACCGCACAGGCCTGTGTGTGTTTTTTTTTTTGATCATGTACTTGGCTGTTACATAATTCGTTTTCCAAAATTTGTTAAGCAGATTTGCGCTCCAATGCAACGAACTTACTTATTTTAAGCCATTTTACAAAATCTTTTATGAATATAAAAAATCCTCATACACAAATTTTGCCACTGATAAAACTTATACATACGGGTATCTAGCAAACAAAATGACATATGGTAAGCAATAATTTTCGACTGTGGAGACGCGTCGTTAGCTAGTATTTCACAGACGATTAGTTGAATCAAAAGTTTACATCATTTAAATGAAAGTTGAACAATGTAAACGCCTTTTAACTACAATGATTGTGTACGATTAGGAAATAATAATATTCTGAACGAAATTTTTCGAAAATTTCATCACTGCTATAAAACTTGAAAAGAAGGACAACGAGGACATTTTTGCTCAAAAGAAGGACATAGAAGGACAAAATTTTTGAGGAGGACAAATCACGTTTCAGGAAGACAATTATCCTCAAAGGAGGACAGTTGGTCAGCTTACCATACACCATTGCACTATAAACAAATTCGTATTCTTGTAATAAACTTCATTAAATTATTTCAAATCATTTTCTTAAAAATAACACTGTGCTCGGTGCCAGGGTCAGTATATCAATACGAGTACTTAACCTCGCACGTGCATGTTTACTTAGCTGAAATATCACAATTTGCAGGTTCCTATAATATCCATAACATTGGAACATATTAAATACGACAACCAAGGAATCAGCTCAGACAGAACCACTTTAGCTCCACCATCTAATTTGTGCATACATACATAGATGCATAAATACATATGTTTATTTAATTTATTTGTATGTATGTAAACGTCTCACTCCAGGTTTAAACTTGCAAACATATTCAGACATGTACATTAGACTGCATCACTCCCCATACAAAAAAAAAATCGGTACTGCTTTTCCATTGGAATTATAAAATCTATTATATTTTAAGACGTCCACCAAAATATTTCGGAAAAATATAAAGATTTAAGCGAGCTGGACCCATTTGAAAATACCTGCAAAAATTTAGTTTTTTATGGATAAAAATAGTTTCTTAAAGCTATAAAAAATTACATAAAAATTAAAAAAAATATATATATTTAAAAAAATTTTAACGGAATCGTAAATTTGAGATTTTTGATGCTGTTTTTGAAATTTTTTCAAAGATTGGTATAAGAAAAACTTAAATAACTGATCCTAAACTCTTCCGATTTAGACTTGTGAGATACCATTGGAAAGATATTTTCTCACCCTTTTTATTTCTTCTCCAATAAACTCATTCAAAGGATGAAAGAGAAAGGTAGGATGAACGAACCTCATTCAAAGTTGAATTAAAAAGTGTTGGTATTTAAAAAAAAAAAGCTTGGGGCACGAATGACTTTTTGTGCACATAAATAAAAATAGTGGGAAAATACCTTTCGGCCGAGATCACATAAGTCTAAATCAGAACAGGTTTGGTCCAGTTATTTAAGTTTTTCGTAAATCAATCTTTGAAAAAAGTAAAAAAAAAACAGCATCAAAAATCTCATTTGTTACGATTCCGTTGAAAAGGTTTTTAAATATTTTTATGCAGATTTTGTAAGCTTAATCTGCTTTGCCGTCTGAGGGGACTTTTTTCAAAAATTTCATTAAGAACCTATTTTTATTCATATAAAAAACTCTATTTTTGGAGGTATTTGCAAATCGGTCCAGCTCGCTTAAATCATAATATTTTTCCGAAATATTTTGGTGAACGTCATAAAATATAAATCTTGATATCCCGGCGGAAAACCCGCAACTTTTTTTTGGTGATGCAGTCTAATGTACATATGTACATATGTATTTATGTATTTATGTTTATGCATAATAGTATATTATATATGTATTTTTGATAGGACTGCTAAGCAAATAAATGACAATGATATTCAGATTAATTGACTTTATCAACGCATGCATACCTACATAAGTATGTACATATATGTATGTATGTAGATATACATTAAAGTACAAAACCCTGCGTCGTCGTTCTCGTATATACGACTGAGAAACGGAAATGGGTTTGACGCTTGTCATAAAGTTTGTTTTCATTCTTTTGTTGTTATACAAACATACATATGCATGTACGTACAATATCCTGCAGAAAAAAGTTTCTTCTGGTTAGCTTTTTTTGCGGGATTTCCATAAATTACTAACTTTTAATTAGCTATGACAAAACTAACTTTAACTTAGTTGTAAAGTCCTGCAGGAGTCACACGTTATCGGGAGTTTTTTTTTTTCTTTACAAGTTTCTACATACATATTTAAATATCCGCACACAAAAATTATTTTCAACACACTTTTCTTTTGCAATTCGCAGATTGCTTTTCGTATTCAGGACAAATAAAAGAAAGGTCGAAATTTTGTTGTTTTCATATTGATGTTATGTCTGATCGAATTCAAATATGAGACCATATACAAAAGAACATGTAAACTAATAAGCAATTAAAAGGTAAATAAGTAGATAAATAAATATATAAAAAAATATATTAAAACTTTTTTTATTGACAGTTTATGTTCAAAAGTAGTTAGCTGCAAGTTAGTTGACATCTAATGCAGAGGAAACCAGTTGTCACAATTTTGCGCCCATCGACCTTCAAAAGTATGTACATAGTTAGGTACGGCCATAGTTAATAAATAGTTACCTCTAGTCGACTGCTGGTAAATAAGTCAATATTTAGCTACAAACTAGTCCCATTTGCTGCAAGGTATTTACATATATCAGTGTGTATGTATGTACTTAAATATTGGCGCTTCCAGTTGTTAATAGCCATATTGGAAACAGTAAACAACTCTCTATCTTGATCTACATACGTTTGGATGATTAAATCGTAAAGATTTTTTCGAATTGGAGCCTATGCCCAAATGTTGTAGTTGTAATTTTTAGAGCTTCACGAAAACGCTTATTGCACTAGAACTAGTGAAACGAAATGTATGGCGTTTCAAAGATAAAATTCCAAACCTATCGACAAATATATTTCCGTAAGTAAACAATTCGGTGTCTGTCGTGGAAACAACGGTAAATATTGGCTTATTTAGGGGTCAATTTTGAGCCTTTAAAATGCTCTAGCAACTTGTGATTGGCTGACATAACTTTCATTTAGGGGGATATGTGTAGGTTCTTTGGAGCAGTTGCAATATTATCGTGTACAAGTTTTATATACATAAATTCAACAAATATCGAGCGTTTTAGGCATAAAGTTGTTGAAATGCTCGAAAACCGCTTGAATGATTTTGTTTTTGTATCGATCGAAATGGGGTTGAAAAGGCTTTGTTTCTTAATTATATTTAGGAGGGTCGCCATCTGTTTCAAAAAGCAAGTTCGGCCGAAATATTGGTAGAAAATTGAAATGTATATCCTGATCACGGTTGCCACTTTGGTAAAATGTTACCAAAATTGGTAACTTTTATTCTCTTTGGTAATTTGGTAACTTTCGATCTCATTTGGCAACTTTTGGGCATAATGCCTAAAAACCCAAAAGTATTTTACAATAGCTGCGGCAAAGGTACATACACGTAGCAAACTTCTTACGGAATGAATTTGTTTCTAAGGATACATACGAAATTGTGAGTTATGATTGGCGATGTGTACAAACATATGAGCCACAAGGGGCTAAAGTCAGAAAAATAAAAAAATAAAATATCTAGCTACCTCACAAAGAAAATTAAAAAGATAAATAAAACAGTTATGAATGGTCAAATGAAAATGCGCACTGTTTTTTTTTTTTTTTTTTTTTTGAAATATGGAAGGAAAGGGTGTTACCCACACGTGCTTGACAAATGAATTAACTCCATTAAAAAACGTGAGGGATGCCATCAAATAATGTACATTATTTTTTTAAATACCGCTTATTTTATAAATTCAACATAAAGTTATTATAAGCTTTGACCCTTAAGTTTATCATTTTTCAAAAAGTGGTTTATACCTATGTAAACTTCTAGGCAACTTTAATACAAGTAACGCCCATTGTTTATGTCAAAAGAAAAAAGGCTTTTAATACTTTTACAAGTTTTTTGGTAACATTTAAAAAAAATTAAAAATTTAGAACCGGCAAATTAAACGATCAGAAGTGCATAATCAAGAAAATGTTTTCAAAAACTGCAAAACAGAGCAGTCGGAAATGCATCATCAAGCAAATTTTTTCGAATAACTGCAAAAAACTGCGTCCGGAAATGCATCATCAAAAAATTACGAAATGACGAAAAATTAATCATCAACCGCACCCTGCGAATGTGCAACCTGCCAAAACAATTATCAGCCTTTTTTCCAGCTTGTCACAGAGTTACCGCAACTTCAACCAATTGTTTACGAGAGCCACTGTAGTAAAGTTCGAATCCGGTTTGAAAACCAGATAAATTCATTACGAAGTACGGCGAATTCTAATCAGTCTGCCAGGCAATCCCGTTGAATGCAACCTTTTGGCTTCGATGTTGTCTGTAAAATTAATGCTATTCGGATTTTACCAAAGAATGTAAGATTTATTTTCTTTGGTCGCAATATATTATTTTCTAATTCCATATGTACTTGAAATCGGCTGTGTTTAGCGCATTTTCCAACTCAATAAACAACGAACCTCATCAAATGCAGCCCTGTCAGTTTCGCCGCAAACCATTCGATGACATTTGACTGTGTTTTTACACTTATTCAACACTAAAGTTTTGTATGACTGCCTGGCAAAATGGCGAAGTCTTGTTGAAAATCTAAAATAAAGCAATTTTATAAATTAATATACCCTTAAACCACGGAGAATAAATAACTAGAAGTAAGTGTGCATAAAGGAATGTATAGGAAATTAAAATAGTGAGTGTAGCGTAAATCATAAGTAACCTAGGAATTTAACATGTGTTGATGAGCAGTCCCGAATTGGTAGAAATGGCGAAAGTAAAGAGCAAAAGAAAATTACGGAAAATAAATTAGTTTCGAAGACTGAAGATATGCGAATGGCAAGTTTTCGCTTTAAGCAGGGTTACCATTCCAGGCAGCGATTATATGGCTTTAATATCACGTTCTTAAAACAGCACAAAATGTTACTAAAATTATCTTTATTTATGTGATCTATATTTTATGTATTAGCAATTAATCTGTTTGGATCAAATTCTTTTGCAATAAGCCATTTTTATTCGCTGCACCAACAATGGCAACGGTAACCCTGGCCGCCCATATGCGAATTCGAATCGAATAAACGCGAATGCCAAAGACGAATGAGGGCAGCGAATACGTTGCAATATAGCTGCAGCCGTGTGTGTAAGCGAGATGACTAAAGTTGCCAAAAAGTCACTGAATAAATGGGTGAGAACGGCAAAACAATAGCGATCTACTGTTTTTCAACCATAGACGGCGCTGCCAAGCACGAACTTTGGCAAACGGACAGACGAAAATCTTCCAACGAGGCGACTTCGAACAACTTTTGTGATTACTTTTCCAATTGAAAATTTTAGGAAAGAAGCAGGTGTTCAAAAAGTGCAATTAAAAAAATTAGGTTTTAATCTTAACCAAGTGTTGAAAATTAGTGAGTAAAAGCATTGAATTATCTTGGTAATAGCAGTTTTAGTGGTTTGTGCGTGCGTGGAGTGTGCTGGCAGGGTGATTTTGATGAGGAGTCGTGGCCATGCATGAAAAGAAAATGTTTTGACGCTATGCCACCATCGATCACTACGACGACTAGCACAATCAAACAAAGGAAAAACTCAAAACTCTGAAAATTTATACCATCAAAAGCTGAATTAAATAATCCCTTTTGTGATAAGTTTGCGTCGGGTCCGGGTTCCAAGAGCACCGTGTCCGTTGTTGCGTGCCGTTGTCGTCGTTGTGTTCATCGTCTCGTATCGCTTTTGCTCCACTTCAAATTACGCTGCGTTCACATATTGTCGAATCGCATATTGTGAAATAAAAAGAAATTAATATTTCCTTTCTTTAAAAATTTCCTGGTCGAGGTATCTGATGATAACACAGTGTGTGTGAGCTTTTCGTGATAGGTGCATCTTGGTCACATCTGGAGCAGTGATAAGCAAAATATTTGCTCAACAAGCCTGAAAATAGTAAGTATCAAAAAAAAAAAAACAAAATATGTAAATCTCAGTTTAATATAGTCGTATACATACTACTTACATATGCATTCCATATTTTGTTCCCCCCTCATGAATATTTTAACAATTAACTGTAGCATGATTCGTCGTTGGAGTGAAATATTTTCAGTGGTTTCAGTTCGTTCCAATTGCATATGATTTTGTTTTTCTATCTGCTATGTTTATGCCTTTCGCGGTTGTCTGTTCACATCTGGTTGTCCTCGCCGGCACAAGGCCAATGACTGCGAATGAACTGAAGTTTTATTTAATTTGGCCTCCAATAACTTTTTAAAAACTTTGTTTCTTAGTATAACTATATTCCACAGCTAATAGATCCGACCGAGGAATATGCCTTAAATCTAGCCCGTATGTTTTATTTTATAACTCAGTTTTTTCGTTTTGTTTTTATTTGTACATTATTTATTTATTTGGTCTACAGAAAAATGTTTTCTTACAGACAAATGAGAATAGAACATTAAGATACATAGTAATTTATAATAATAATAATAATCACAGCATAAAATAGCAGGTTTGGTAGCTGGCGAGGCCTAGTCTTCAGTCTACTTTTGTGTGCGGCGGCCGGAAAGACCTAGTTTCCGCTCCGCGCTGCGGACAGGCTGTTCATCAAGGTCGGTAAGGCCGGGTTTCCGATCCATGTTCCCGAAGACATTACTTTGTATGTGTGGCAGGCGTAAAGCTCTGGTTTCCGCTCCGCGCTATGAACAAGCTGTTGAACATGGTCGGAAAGAACGAGTTTCCGATCCATGTTCCCGAAGTCATTACTTTGAATGTGTAGCAGGCGGAAAGTTCTAGTTTCCGCTCCGCTCTGTGGACAAGCTGTTCAGCATAGTCGGAAAGAACGAGTTTCCGATCCATGTTCCCGAAGTCATTACTTCGAGTGTGTGGCAGGCGGAAAGCTCTAGTTTCCGCTCCGCGCTGTGGACAAGCTGTTGATCATGGTCGGAAAGGCCGAGTTTCCGATCCATGCTCGTATTGTCTTACGCGGTCGCGAAAATATACGAAGCCGATTACATTCGTACCAAGCAGTCATAGATATTGTGTAATTTATCGTTCCCGGTTAAAGATATTAATTATAGTGTTGTGGTTAGCAATTATTATTAATTATATAATAATTATGATATTTGTCTTAAAATAAAACAAAATTCTGTCCGAGCCATTTAGTGCGTTCCAGAACGTCTACGTTTTGCAGGTTTTGCAGGATTTAGTCCAAAGTCGTTCCCGTACGCCAGTTCACATAAAGTTTATTAAAGGCGAAAGCAGCTGTTCCTGCAAAACCTTCAAATCCTGCAAATCGTGAAGTACGGCAAAAATATACGGCATATTGAATCAGTAGTTAATTACTTTAACCGCCGCCCTCCCAACGCCGGAGGCGGCGTCGCCTTTATATTGCATAACGCGGTTCAATATCGGCTCATTACTTCCCGAATAGTTGCCAACTATACGCCCATTGGATGCCAATGTTTGACGATCAAGACCGGAGATACTGAGCTTGAAGTCGCCAACGTATACATACCGCCTGCAACCATCTGCGCAGCAGGATACCGCCCGAACATGAGTGCGCAACTTGAAGGCGAAAACCGGGTAGTGCCAGCGGGTTGTAGCGCGCAACACGAACTGTGGCACTCCAACCTGGGCATCGACCAGCGGGGTTTACCGCTCACTGAACAAATTGACGACTCGACGTTCTGTAAACGACGATGCCCACACTGGGACCGCGGTTGACTGCTATAGCTCGCCAGATATATGTACAGCAAGCGGAGGTCTCATAAACTGCATTGAATGGCAACTAATGCTCACGCCTATCAGGGACATTATCAAACTGTTAAACGAGCAGAAGCGGAAATCGTGGAACGAGCTCCTCAAGACCTGCAATCTCTCCAACGGAGCTAGCAAACTGGACGATAGTAAAGTCTTTCTCCCATCCGACGAATCGTAAAGACAGCGGGAGTCGAGTATATCACAGCAGCGTTCAACTCGTCACTGTCCACTCTGCTCATCCAGGAGATGTGGAAAATGGGTAGGATCATTCCCCTCCTTAAGCCAGGAAGGAAGGCGGGCGCAGGAGACTTACCGGCCAATCTCCCTCCTATCCCCAGTAGCAAAGACAAGCACTACCTGAGTGTCCAGATTGTTAAAAAAAGCCCAATTTCTGAAAAAATCGTCAATTTTTTTTATATAAAATTCTTGAAATCGATTTAACAAATCTTTTATTTTAAAAATGAGCCCTTGTTATAATATAGTTTTTAAAACCAAAAATGAATATTATACCTTCAAAGGGTAATAATAAATAACACAAATCACTTATATAATAGTGAAGTACAAACAATTTTCTTTAAAAATATTTGTTTCAACACATTTGATGTACAATCCGCTTTTAAGAGCTTGGCGCTAAAAATAAAATAGAAAGCTATAAGACGAGATCAGCTATTTCCACAATTTCTTCAAAATCACCTATAGTGTCTGAATGATTTACATTTCTGTTGTTGTCATATATTCGGCTATTCAACCTTGATAGCATACTGTTTGATATTGGAAACGTTTTGCATCAGAAACTATTAACGCCGGTCCACATAGAACTTTCACGTTGGTTTTGGCATTGGCGTTGGTTTGACAGAACGCACGTTAAAAGTATGCTTGCTACAATGAACGCTTAGCAGCGAATGCTCGGGCCACTAAATTAACATACTAACGACAGATAAATTAATATTTCATATCAATAACTGCATTAAAAACGATATTTCTTACCCGCGCTTGATTAAAATATTATTTATACATACATAATTTCATTTATTTGCAACAGCTGACGAGCGACGCACGCGAAAAATTGAGAGTTGGCCATCTTTTTGCTTTGTGTTGGCGTGAACGTTGTCGAATTTTGGCTATGTGGACGGCTGCATTTGAATTCATGTATTCATAGTCAGCTGTTGAAGCGACGCCAACGCCAACGCAACGCCGAAGTTCTATGTGGACGGGCCTTTATTAGCCTTCATATAACTTTATTTCCAACTATTGTATTAAGGCTTTCAAACCTCATACTATTTCAAATTTTAGTTTTTGTTGAATTCATTACGGAAGAAGGCGCTCAACAAAAGATGTGAGTGCGGCAAGGATAATAATATGAATGCTACTTTACTTATATTTCCAAACATTTTATTGCCTNTATTAGCCTTCATATAACTTTATTTCCAACTATTGTATTAAGGCTTTCAAACCTCATACTATTTCAAATTTTCTTTTTTGTTGAATTCATTACGGAAGAAAGCGCTCAACAAAAGATGTGAGTGCGGCAAGGATAATAATATGAATGCTACTTTACTTATATTTCCAAACATTTTATTGCCTGTTGCGGTTTTCACTCCGTAAGCAATTATCCAAAATTCTTCAGAGTCGGATGGAATGTTTCTGAAAAAAGTTATTCCATTGCAAGTTAAAAGATTTAAATATTCAGTTTCCGCTGGTTTTCGCCAAATTCGCACAAAACCGCCAAATCTGGGCACTCTGAGCACTACTACCCCCAGCATGGCGAAGCATCTGCAACAAGCCGAACACCAACACGGATTCCGCAAAATGCACAGCACGACCCCTGCATTAAACGCCAGCACCACACAGATAAGGGAGGGTCTGAACCAACGTCGACTCGTGTGATAGGACGGTCCTAGTCGCGGTGGATCTGTAGAAGGCCCTAGACCATTTGCTAAGACGTCCTGGAGTCATCGCTTCCGAATCGGACGAAGCGGTGGATAACTAGCTATCTGTGTGCACGCCAATCATCGGTCGAATTCCAAAACGCCAAGTCCAAGCCGCTTAGGATTAAACAGGGGGTCTCCCAAGGCGGCGTACTCTCGCCGACACTGCTCAACGTGCGGGGAAATCAGTGACTATCTCACGGATGTTGCAAACCACGCCACACTGTACACCCCAAAATCCTGGAAGTTACGTTCGACAGTTTCTTCTCCTTTTCAGCGCACGCCTCAGCAACCTGCGAAAAGATATGAACAAGGAACAAGGTCCTCAAGACAGTAACCAGCAGCACTTGGGGAACCGACAAAGAAACCCTACTCAGCACTTACAAAGCAATCAGCCGGTCGGTGGCAAACTACGCAGTGCCAATGTGATCGACAGGTACCGGCGATAGACAGTGGAGAAACCTACAAAAATGCATCACCTCTACCAAGAAAGCTAGATGCTGGCGGAGAAAGAGCACAACACGTTGCTATCGAAGCAGTTCTTCGTGGGATGTCACTGGTAATCACCCCAACAACGTCCTGCTTCGCGCCTATCGTCGCCGCCCGCTTTCTTGACCTCCGGCTTGTCGAGTCGGAGGAGGAAGACGACCCATGACGAAACCCCGGGGGGTTGAGGACTGCTACTACAACAACTGCGACAACTCCCGGCCTATAAATGGCGTGATCGGAGCCCAATCACCACCTGTGCCAGAGACACATTTGTTTGTATTGAAAAATGTGTGTCAACCATTGCCACGACAGTCGGGTCTACATAACCGGAACGACCCAGATTTATAGTTGGCCAAGGACTGTTACTCCTGCAACACTCAAAAACTCTTTGGCGAACTTGTATGCTGCTACAACAACAACAACAACGGAGCTTCAACTGTTAAAAGAGACCCCCGTTACCCTAGCCCAGTTACGGTCTGGATACTGTAGAGGGCTAGTTTCGAAGCCGCCTTCTCCCCAAACACTAGATGCAGGCGATCTGAATGGATGAGATCTAGTGT